GCAAAGGTTGTGGGAAAACCAGCTGATTAGAGCATCAGTGGCACAACCTCACTGAGGAAAAACTTGACAGTATTTTTCCAAATTAAAATACACAGGTCCCTTTTGCCCGGGCAATTCTGTGCAATTCCACTTCTAGGAGTTCCACATAATCCTCCACAATCGGCCAAAGAAATGTGCACTTGAATCTTTTTTCTACAGTATTGTCTGTAGTGAGGAAAATGTGTCATTGAATTAGAATCTCTCTGGAAGGAGACACAGTGAACTGCTGCCTCTGGGGACAAGGGTGGGTGAGAAATTCACTTTGCCCTACGTCTCTTTTCTATCTAAATTTTCTAAACATGCCTCCAATAATTATTTAAAGAAATAGTTTAAAAATATAACCGCTGGAAAAAATACATATAACCGCTGAGTAAATAGATAAATACAAGTTCTCCAAAACCACCAGTTTTTCAGACAAATAAACTGAGGGTCGGAAAGGGTGGGTCACCAGCCCCAAACACACAACAGGTAGCGCTCTCTGTTGGACTCGGGGCAAGGGTGCGGTTCCACTTTCAGGTTCGCCAAATCCCGCCCCCTTGCCGCCAGTCCCGCCCTATACCGCCAGGCCCCGCCCCCGACCTGCGGAGCGACCCAGCCAGTTGAGTCCAGCCTGTAATTAACGCACTACACGGACTCGAGCGCCTCTCTTCGGGAGCGGACCCAGACTCGGAGCCCCATACGCTGGGACAGGTGACCCGGGAGGGAGTGGTTCTTGCGGCCCGCTGCCGGGCCGGAGATCCCGGGGGTCTTCTCGGGGGCGGTGTCCATGGGCTCCACAAACCCCTGCGGCAGAGGTTGCGGCCGCGCAGGGGTTAACGCGAGCCAATCCTGGGCTGCGTGGTGACGTAACGGTTCATAGCGCTCTTTCGGGTTACGCACTGGGCGGCGGGGTCTGGGGATCTCTGAAGGCCAATGGCGTGCGTCTATGCAAATAAGGGCGGAGCTGGAGAACGCGCCGCCGGTGGAGAATTGGCCGCTCAGTGAACAGCTTCCCCGTGAGTCCTCCCACCTTACCCTCCTCCAATCGCATCCTTCTCCTGTGTCCACAGTCCGCCCGCCGACCACCCCCGCCACGCGCGGGCCACGACTCCCCCCGCAGGGCCCGCCCACCGGTGCGGGGACGCCCGAGCGGCACTACCCCGAAGCCGATGCCCACCCTGGAGGCCCCGCAGACCCGCGGCTCCCGGGGGAACTTGCAAACCCGCCCTCCTGGCCCTGGTCCCCCGGTGAGTCTGAACGGGAGGAATGTCCCCAGGCTGAGCCTAGGCAAAGGATTCATTCCCCCCTGTATAATGGATTCCGGCTGACCCTCGTTAACTCCAAACCATGATTCCTGCGGCATCTGCAGCGACTGATGCCTGGAGGCCTCGAACCCAGCGCGTCCCGCCCTCTGTGCCAGCCTCAGCCCGGAGCACACGGGACAAGGCCCAAGAAGATTGTATTTGAGGATGAGCTGCCCTCCCGGACCCTCCTGGGCTCCAAGAAGTCTGTTAGAGCCGTCCCCGGGGGACATGAGCCTAGGCCCCACCCCGTGCCTGACTATGAGCTGTGAGTGCCCCCCTGTGGTTCCTGACTTCTGGGAACATGGAAGGAGCACTGAGGCTGGGGCTTTGACAAGTGAATAAGAGTTTACCAAATAGTAAACAGAGATAAAGGGCATTTGGGGCTAGGAACCCAACACAGACAAAGAAAAATTACTGATTACTGAAAAATTACTGATTGGGGAAAAGAGAGGAATTCTTTACACTCATACTCTGACCCCCTGTCAACCTGGTAGTAAGTACCCACCAGTGAGCAACGAGAAGGATCGGAGCCGCTATGCTGCAGTGTTCCAGGACCAGTACCCAGAGTTCTTGGAGCTTC